TTTGTGCGAGATAGTAGCAGTGAGAGATGTCGCCTTGGCTGTGTTGTGTTTTAGAAATTTTTAGTATTTTTTTTTCTCATCCAGTGTTTTTACTCTTATTTGCAGGTTTAATCGATATGTGCTTCTAAGAAGGGAAATAGTGCAAAGGTAGTGCCAACACTTCTAAAACTCTGAAGGATGGAAGAAGAATTAGAGCGTGCATTTAGGAAATTTGATCTCTCTAAGTCTGAGCTGGAGGGAATAGATCTCAGTGGTGATGATATAAAGGAGGGAGTCCAAGATTGCAGCGGAAGTTTAGTTGGGAAGTTGATAGGTGAAAAGGTAGCAAATTTCACAGAAGTAAAAAATTTTACCAACCATGCCTGGGGGTATCCAAGAAACATGATTGTAACTGAGTTAGGACCAAACTTGTTTTAGTTTTAACTGGAAAAAGAAGAGGATCGTGACAAAATCCTGTTGGGAGCATCGTGGATAATGGATAACCAGATACTTGTGGTAAAAGAGTGGGAAGTTGGGTATGAAAGGAGCTTCAACCACTTTAGGCTTGCTCATCTATCGATACAAATTTGGAACCTTCCAGTCCATTGGATATGTAGAGCAGTGGGGTTCAAGTTAGGGAAATTATTTAGCTCTGTGAGGGAAGTAACAGTCCCATCCGGGGGGGAAGAAGGCAAGCATATGAAGATCTTTGTTGAGATTGACATTTTTCAACCTCTGCTGAGAGGAACTTCAGTGAAGATGGATGGAGTAAATACTTGGGTTGAGTTTAGATATGAGAGGTGCCCAGATTTCTGCTATAACTGCGGGATTTTAGGACATAGGGATAAGTCATGTACTGGAGAAAGGAGTGAGAGGCAGTCGAATAAAGAAGGACAGTTTGGAGCATGAATGAGAGTGGGGAACATCATGGTGTCACCATTGAGAGCCTGGAAAAAGCCTAGTACAGAAGAGAATCAAGATGTAATGGTGATAACAAAAGGAAACAATGAGACTGGAACAAGAGCTGAGAAACAAGCTAGTAAAGGGGCTAAGGATATGGATGGAACGAGATGTAGAGGGAGCGACAAGGAGAGTAAGGATAGAAACTAGAAAAAAGATGAAATTGAGAGGAAATGGAGAGAGATCCTGAGAGAAAACAAAGAGCAGGAAAAAGAAGTAGAGAAAGGGGAACAGATGGGAGGAGGAAGTGAGGAGGCAAATGGCAAAGAGGAGAGGGAAAAATAGAGATCATGAAGGTAACTGTGGATCTGGAAAAAGATATGAACAGAAATAAAGATCATCACATAGAGGACATGGTTATAGAAGAAAATCCAAAAAAAGAATTGATGGACAAGTCTGATAAGAGAAGTATATCGGCTCAAGACTGTGAAGCTGTGGATGACAAATTTCAGGCATCAGTCAGTGGAAGCAAGAAAGGAGACAAGAAGCAATGGAGAAGGAGTCTAAAAACTAGTAGGACCCTATTAAGAGATATCACTGATAGAGGAAATGTTAGGGGGTTTGGAGAGAAAAGGAAAGTGTAGGAAGCAAAGCAAGACATGGACTTAATGGAAGAAGACATAACAGAAGCTCCTAAAAATAAGATAATGAAAGTGGACAAGGCTGCTGGTTATCTTGGAGAGGAATTGGAGGCTAGCCCCGAAATGCCTCCACATTTCCAATGAAGGTGGTGGTGTGGAATTGTCGAGGTGCAGGAGGTCCCTTGACAATTCCCAACTGAATGAGGTAATGCATCTCCATTCTCCTAACATAGTGTTTTTGAGTGAGACAAAAAATCAGGAAAAATTCATGAAACATGTGCCAAAAAAAATTAATTTTGAGAATAGCTTTGTGATGAGCTCAAATAGGAGAGCAAAGGGTCAAACCCTGTTCTGGAAAGATGACGTGTGTCTGCTGGATATGAATGGTACTGATTGGTACATTGAAGCAAGGGTGGTAGATCAGGCTACCAATAGCCACTGGTGGCTGGTAGAAATCTACGCAAGTACTGAAGATAGCATAAGAAAGCAACAATGGAAGGTTATAGGGGAAAAAAAGAGAGGGTGAGGTGAGACATGGGTGTTGGTGGGAGACTTTAATGATATCTGCTCCAATGGGGAGAAATAGGGAGGGAGAGAGAGGCCAGAGGGAAGCTTTAGGGCCTTTAATACCTTCATTAAAGGGAATGAGCTAGTGGATATAGGGTCTGTGGGGGTACCATGGACTTGGAGTAATACGTGGGAGGGGGAGGAAGAAATAAGGAAGAGATTGGATGGGTGCTTAGGCAGTGTTAGTTGGGTGCAGAAATTTGAGAAAGCTACCTGTGAACGTATTGAGAAAGAGGCATCTGATCACTACCTTTTAATCCTGGATACAAACCCACAACAAAGGAAAGTGAAAAGAAGATTCTATTTTGATCAAAGATGGGCAAAGGACAAAGAATCAGATACAGTAATCAAAAGAGCATGGGGGTGGAACAACATGGATCAAGAATGTTCAAAGTGGTAAGAACGATAAAGGAGTGCATACTAGCTTTGATCGAATGGAATAGAAAAATGAAAGGTAATGCAAAGGTAAAGATCCAAGAGCTCAAGGAGAAACTGAAAATAGCAATAGAGAAATGTGATCCATGCAATAATGGAGTCATTGCATCCCTGAAAAGATAATTAAGTAAAGCTTACAAGGATGACAATTAAGTAAAGCTTACAGGAGGACAATTAAGAGAGTATACAGGAGGATAATAGGACCAATGTCCCTTTATGTAACTAAAATCTTGTATTATCAAGTTCATATATGTATAAGAAGAATACCGTTTGAGAAAAAAAAAAAAAGTAAAGCTTACAAGGATGAGGAGCTGTTCTGGAGTCAGAAATCAAGAAGCATATGGCTTAAAGAGGGGGACAAGAATGCAGCTTTTTTCCATATAAGTGTAATGACAAAAAGAAAACGAAACAGGATTAGCATGCTACAAAAGCTGAATGGGGATTGGTGTAGGAGTGAACAGGAAATTGAAGACGATTTGTGCCAGCACTATAGGGAGCTTTTCACCTCTACTGATCCTAAGGAATTTGATGAAGTGCTGCAGGGTATACCTCGCACTATTTCCAGTCTAATGAATGAGCAGTTGATTAAACATATGGATGAGACGGAAATTAAGCAAGCTATCTTTCTCTATGTTTCCTAACAAAGCTCCCGGAGTAGATGGTATGCCTCTATTATTTTTCCAAACCTACTGGAACATCATTAAAGTTGATATTGTCAATGCCATTAACAGTTTCTTTCATACTGGCAACTTACTTAGAATTGTGAATGAGACCACCATCTCCCTAATTCCAAAAGTTGACAATCCTGTGCTGTTGACCAATTTCAGACCAATTAGCTTATGCACAGTGTTGTATAAAATCATCTCTAAAGTATTGGCTAATAGATTGAAAAAAGTTCTTAAACACTGCATTAGTCCCTCTCAATCTGCTTTTGTCCCTGGGAGACAAATTTTGGACAATGTTATTATTGCGCATGAAATTTTGCATTTTCTGAAAAGTAAGAGGACTGGTAAAGTAGCCTTCATGACCCTAAAGTTAGATATGTCTAAAACCTATGATAGTGTGGAATGAAAATTTTTAGGAAGACTTATGATGCACATGGGATTCTGTCCTACTTTTGTTCACTAGACCATGGCTTGTATTTCCATAGTCTCATATTCCTTTAATCTGAATGGACAAAAGGTGGGCTATATAAGGCCTTACAGAGGAATCCGACAAGGAGATTCTCTATCTCCTTACTTGTTTATCATCTGTACTGAAGGGCTTTCTAACTTACTCAAGAACGCTGTGGAAGGGAAGCAATTAACTGGCATTAAAATCTGCAAAGATAGCCCTACGGCTTCTCACTTGTTTTTTACAGATGATTCACTATTGTGCTGCAAAGCAAGCAAGCAGGAAGCACTAAAGGTGAAGGAGATCCTCCAGCAATATGGACAAGCATCAGGACAGGTAGTTAACTTTGACAAATCTGCAATATTTTTCAATAGAAACACTCCCAACCAGATAAGAGAGGAGATCAGTGAGGTTCTGGATAGCATGAGAGAGGCACACAATGAAAAATATCTAGACTTACCTATGACTATAGGGAGGGCTAAGAACCAGGTGTTTGGATATCTGAAAAATAAAATAAACAATAAGCTACAAGGATGGAAACAGAAGGTGCTTAGTCAAGGGGGAAAAGAGGTTTTCATCAAATCAGTTCTCATGGCAATGCCAACATACATTATATCATGCTTTAAACTACCTAAAGGTATGTGCAAGGAAATATGTGTTAGAATTGCCAGATTCTGGTGGAGGGATGGGGACAAAGAAAACAAGTTGCATTGGGTTAGATGGGGTAAACTGTTAGAAGTCAAAGGGAAAGGCGGGTTCGATTTTAGAGACTTGGAAGCTTTCAACCTAGCTCTGCTTGCAAAACAAATATGGAGAGTAGTTACCAATCCAAATTTGTTAGTAAGCAAAGTTTTGAAAGCTAAATATATGAAAGAGAAAGAGTGGCTAGAGAAGAATCCTCCAAATACTGCATCCAAGTGCTGGAAAAGTATTCACAAGGAGGGAGTTATTACAAAAGAGATTATGGAAGAGAGTGGGAGATGGACGGACAGTGAAGATCTGGCAGGATAGATGGATCCCTGGCTTGAAAAATGGAAGAGTATCAATAGTAAGGCCTGCTGATTGCCAGTTATGTCATGTTCATGAATTGATTGAGAGGGGAAGTGAAAGACAGATTGCCTGCAGAAATGGTTTAATGCAAAAGATGTAGAGTACATAACTAGCATTCCCCTCAGCTTATATAGAAGAAAGGACAGACTCTACTAAAAACATAGCAAATCTGGTGTGTATATAGTGAAGACTGGACATGCTACAGCAAAACCAGAGGGTGAGACTCAGGGTCGAAGGATAGAACCTAGCTCAAAAACTAGTTGGGAAATTAGGAAACACGCTATGTGGAAAAGACTATGAAGTATAAACATTAAGATGAAGCTAAAACATTTTCTATGGAGGTGCCTGCAGAATAGCTTGCCAGTTAATGAAGCCATCTATAAGAGAATTAGGAAGGGAAGCAGCCTATGTAATTGCTGTGGTGAGGATACTGAAACCATTGAGCACATCTTTTTCTTTTGTCCAAAGGCTCAAGTGGTGTGGAAGATAGTTCCTGTGAGTTGGGAGAGGATAACTGAGTTGCAAAGTAACATATGGAGATGGTGGGATGCAGTGATGCAATCCGCTAAGGAGGAACAAGGAATGGATAGAATTAAGCTTACGGTCAATATATTATGGCAAATCTGGAAGGCTGGAAACAAGATGACATTCCAGAGTAAGAACGTGGATGCAAAACTGATAGTGGACAAAGCACAGTAGGAATGGACTGAATATGAAGCAGAGACTGAAACAGATACAAGACCAAATACTTCATCAGAAGCGGACAGATAGCTGCAACATGGTTGGGAACCACCTAAGGAAGGTGTGATCAAAATAAATACTGATGCAACAATCTCAGCTAAAATAGTAAGAATAGGGTTGGGGATAATAGCTAGGAACTGGCGTGGAGGGATTGTGAAAGCAAAAGGAATCACTGAAAGGAGGAGAGTGGAAGCAACCAAAGAGGAAGCACTAGCCATAAGAAGTGCACTGAAAATGACAAAAGATGTAGGATTGACAAATATAGAGATCCAATTTGATTGCAAAAGTGTAGTAGTAAGCCCAATTAACACAGGCAATGTTCAGGATTGTAACTTACAAACAATCCTAGAAGACATTGATGACCTAAAACAGGTTTTGACTGTTGCATATTTTCTTTTGTTCCCAGAGCTAAAAATGGTTGTAGTCATTCTCTGACTCAATTTGCAGTCAAGTTGATTAAGAATGTTAAGTGTGAAGGATCCTTCCCAATATGGCTATTAGAATTGTGACAGCCCCACCTCCCCCTAAGGCGAACCAAAGGGTTCGGCGGGCCGCCTGCCCAACTCTCGTCGGGACTCAGTCGTTCACTACAGTTCTCAAATAAATTACAAGATAAGTCCTAAATATACATCAAAAATTTCACAATTTACATATACTACAAACTAAAACCGCAAGAGATACGAGCAATACTAATTTTCAGAATAAAACAAAAGTCCTCAGTTCTCACATAAGTACAAGTACAATCATAGTCTCAAATATTACACAAGATAAATCTAAAACTCCAACGGTACAGGAGATCATCCAACCATTCATACGAAGAACTTTAATACAAACGCTTCCTTCGCCTCGAGCCCTGTGGAGGGGAAATAAAATAGTTTTGGGGTGAGTTAGAAACTCAGCGAGTAACCAGTAAAATCAGTAATCAAATATATTTCACAATAATGCATTTCGATGATGTCATGATTCCAAGATCAAATGTACGTATTTTTGCTTTGGTGAGCCAGTGAAATCATTGCACTTAAACATCCAACGCTCAAATAGATCATTTCACGTTGAACAGTAAGAGGGAGCCCCTTTTTGAGCTCCAGATGAACATAAACAAGTGATGGAAACGTTGGTGTTCAGCACAAGACTCCCTAAGAACTCATTGAAGTCAAATCATGCCATGAACTCCCATGCAAGCACGCATGATATGCAATTGAATAAAGAATGTAGGAAATAGTTCATAAGTAGCTTTGGAAATAGTTTAGGGTCACTCACCTCCACGGCTCAGGAACCATCCATCATATATCATTGCCTTGCCCAAATCCAAGCCCTTCAACTCAAACTCAAAGCAATCAAATGCTTTCAAAGATTGGACAGCATATCCCCTTAATTTTCTTACTTTTCCATCCTACAAGCAACACCAATTTATCTCAAATTAACCACATACACATCATAGACTATCAAATACACCTTTCGGCACAATATCCATATCTGAAACAACACTTATCGGATTGAAACGAATCTTATGGAGTTTCGAAACCAAGACATAAACCTACATTTCTTATGAAGACCTCCAAAGCTAAACCATGCATTTTCAAGGTCAAAAATGGAAAACTCCATGAAAATAGAAATCTAGGCGCAAAATAGGGCTCATGGGCAGTCAAGGGTATTTCGGTCATTTCATATGCTACAGTGCTCCGATTGAGATGAAATTTTACAGGCAGATAGTTAACACCATTTTCTATAACTTTTATGTTTTAACCTAAGCCTGATTCGGCCTCTAACATGCTCAAATAAATCCGGTCAGAACATGGCAGATTTGAATCCCTAACCTGAAATTTTCCGCACAAGCTGAAATTTTCCGCAAATAATCGCAATTAACGCACAAGAAGTCTATTTAACACCATTTAGAGCCATCAATTCAAGCCAACCATATCTATCATAGGAAAACAGAAAAATTGTCAAAAAAAAAATAGAAATTTAGATAACTCCACTCCAATCCATAAAATCTTCCATAAAATCACCTAACTAGCTACCATAAGGCACCAATTGGCCATTATTAGGAACAAAGAGTGGGTTCCAAGCAAAATATCTTAACCCCTCAAGAAAGGTAGTAGCTTAGTGGTTTTTCTTCCAAAACAACTCCACCAAGATCTTTAAACTCCCTTAGCAAGTCTTTTGTGTGGACTAATTCAAGGTTTAATCGGTTAGATTCCAAGATTTGTGCAAGAAATGGAATATATAGGCGAAACTTTCTTTTCTTTTCTCTCAAGGTGAAGGTCGGCCAAGAAGCTTGAAGAATGAAGATAATTTTGATCAATTTTGGGTATTTAGTAAAGGTGATGAATAGTGGTCAAAGTCCACCCTCCATTGGTTTCATGACATTTGACCCTATTAGGGTTTTAATCTTATCCTTTTGTCTCTCCAAAATTAAACCATCTAAGTAACCTCTAATCATCTCTTAACACCTAGTATATTATACAAAACATAACCTAATTGGTCGAATTTATCGCACTTAACGCCACTAGCGGGTCCCACGTCCAATATACACTCTTTATTTCTCAGGAACTAATTTATATTAGAAAAATGATTGGAAAACTATATTCACTTATAAAAGTCTCTGGAAAATTTTGATAATAAAATAAAGTAAGAAAAATGCATGCCTAAAAATAAATAAATAAAGAAAATTTCCCTTTTCTTTTCCTTTGGGCGCCACAAACTCCCCCCTTAAAAGAATGTCGTCCTCGACATTCCAACTTGTACTAATCAGATCAAGATATCCCGCAAAAGTCAAACGAGCATTTCCAAGCAAGCACTAAGAGTGACTTTAATCCCACTCGTCTGATTTTCAGTCTCACAAGAAATCACTGATATTTCAAACCAGACCCACAGTCCGACATCCTAAACTTTAAGCCTAGGATACACTACAGATATCTGAAGCCTAGGCTCTGATACCAACTGTGACAGTTTCACCTCCCCCTAAGGCAAACCAAAGGGTTCGGCGGGCCGCCTGTCCAACTCTCGCTGGGACTCAGTCGTTCACTACAGTCCTCAAATAAATTACAAGATAAGTCCTAAATATACATCAAAAGTTTCACAATTTATATATACTACAAACTAAAACCGCAAGAGATACGAGCAATACTAATTTCCAGAATAAGACAAAAGTCCTCAGTTCTCACATAAGTACAAGTACAATCGTAGTCTCAAATATTGCACAAGATAAATCTAAAACTCCAACGGTATAGGAGATCATCCAACCATTCACACGGAGAACTTTAATACAAACGCTTCCTTCGCCTCGAGCCCTGTGGAGGGGAAATAAAATAGTTTTGGGGTGAGTTAGAAGCTCAGCGAGTAACCAGTAAAATCAGTAATCAAATATATTTCACAATAATGTATTTCGATGATGTCATGATTCCGAAATCAAATGTACGTATTTTTGCTTTGGTGAGCCAGTGAAATCATTGCACTTAAACATCCAACGCTCAAATAGATCATTTCACGTTGAACAGTAAGAGGGAGCCCCTTTTTGAGCTCCAGATGAACATAAACAAGTGATGGAAACGTTGGTGTTCAGCACAAGACTCCCCAAGAACTCATTGAAGCCAAATCATGCCATGAACTCCCATGCAAGCACACATGATATGCAATTGAATAAAGAATGCAGGAAACAGTTCATAAGTAGCTTTGGAAATAGTTTAGGGTCACTCACCTCCACGACTCAGGAACCATCCATCATATATCATTGCCTTGCCCAAATCCAAGCCCTTCAACTCAAATTCAAAGCAATCAAATGCTTTCAAAGATCGGACAGCATATCCCCTTAATTTCCTTACTTTTCCATCCTACAAGCAACACCAATTCATCTCAAATTAACCACATACACATCATAGACTATCAAATACACCTTTTGGCACAATATCCATATCTGAAGCTACACTTATCGGATTGAAACGAATCTTATGGCGTTTCAAAGCCAAGACATAAACCTACATTTATTATGAAGACCTCCAAAGCCAAATCATGCATTTTCAGGGTCAAAAATGGAAAATTCCACGAAAACAAAAATCTGGGCGTGAAATAGGGCTTATGGGCAGTCAAGGGTATTTCGGTCATTTCACATGCTACAGTGCTCCGATTGAGTTGAAATTTTATAGGCAGCTAGTTTAACACCATTTGCTACAACTTTCATGTTTTAACCTAAGCCTAATTCGGCCTCTAACATGCTCAAATAAATCCGGTTAGAACAGGGCAGATTTGAAACCCTAACCTGAAATTTTCCGCACAAGCTGAAATTTTTTGCAAATAACCGCAATTAACGCACAAGAGGTCTATTTAACACCATTTAGAGCCATCAATTCAAGCCAACCATATCCATTATAGGAAAATAGAAAAATTCTAAAAAAAAAAACAGAAATTTAGATAACTCCACTCCAATCCATAAAATCTTCCATAAAATCACATAACTAGCTACCATAAGGCACCAATTGGCCATTATTAGGAACAAAGAGTGAGTTCCAAGCAAAATACCTTAACCCCTCAAGAAAGGTAGTAGCTTAGTGATTTTTCTTCCAAAACAACTCCACCAAGATCTTCAAACTCCCTTAGCAAGTCTTTTGTGTGGACTAATTCAAGGTTTAATCGGTTAGATTCCAAGATTTGTGCAAGAAATTGAAGATATAGGTGAAGCTTTTTTTTCTTTTCTCTCAAGGTGAAGGTCGGCCAAGAAGCTTGAAGAATGAAGATGATTTTGATCAATTTTGGGTATATAGTAAAGGTGATGAATGGTGGTCAAAATCCACCCTCCATTGGTTTCATGACACTTGGCCCTATTAGGGTTTTAATCTTATCCTTTTGTCTCTCCAACATTAAACCATCTAAGTAACCTCTAATCATCTCTTAACACCTAGTATATTATACAAAACATAACCTAATTGGTCGAATTTATCGCACTTAACGCCATTAACGGATCCCACGTCCAATATACACTCTTTATTTCTCAGGAACTAATTTATACTAGAAAAATGATTGGACAACTATATTCACTTATAAAAGTCTCTGGAAAATTTTGATAATAAAATAAAGTGAGAAAAACGCATGCGAAAAAATAAATAAATAAAGAAAATTTCCCTTTTCTTTTCCTTCGGGCGTCACAAGAATTAGTTAGAAAAGATATGAGGATAGTTACCCTTTTTTGTAATTAGCTCTTGTATTACAGAATTTTACATAGAAAACTCATCAATTTCAAGTTTGAGTTTAATCTTGATAAAATTAGATCGAATTCGAATTTGAGCTCGTAACCAAAATTGGACTGAAGCCGTCCCATTTGCCGCCATAATGACTGTTAGATATGATATGCACTCAAGTGGGCACGTAGAAAGCTTTTTGTTTGAAGAAACGGATATGAAAAGTTACATAAAAGAACTTGTACAAATACAGCAGTCAAATTGTACAAATACATCAGGGAATAAATCCAAAGAATGATAAAATTCTAGCAGGGGACAGTGAGAGAGTTTGTATCGATGGAAACTTGACAGCGATCGTCACTTAATAATATCGATGGAAACTTGACAGCGATCGAGGAGAATTGTCGTAGTAAGTAGCAGCCATGCCATTGGTTAGTTGAACTTAAACAGGCTCTTGCTCTTATTGGATGATTTCTCCATCTTTGACGTCCTTTGCCTCCTTGGACTTAAATTACTTTTTCTGAAACCACTATCGGTCCATCCTTTAGATAATGAGTGCCTGGTTGGGAATATTTGGATTGAGCTAACTTTAAGTCTTCCTTTCTATTATCAACACTTCATCTAAAGCCCCACCATGTTAGGTCACTCTGAGGTGTGTCTTAATTTCTTAAGATTGTTTGACAAAAAAAAAAAAAAAAATGTCGTTTCATGAAGTAATTAAACTTTTTTGTTTTAACTTGAAATTTTGGAAGAAGAAAAGTTTTTTTCTCTCGAACATATATGGGGCAATTCTCATGATGTTTAAATATGAAGGAAACTAAACCAAATTTTCAAAGGTGTTACGAAAAGCAGTTCCCAAAATTTTTCATTTCTAAGGGAAAAAAATTAATGTAGAGCAATAATTTTGAAGAAACAATGGCATGCATGACCAAATTGGAAAAAAAAAAAGTGATGGATCAGCCATGCATGTTACGTGGGGCACTTTCTTCTGAACCTTTGTGATAAGGATCCCAACATTTACTTCAAGCTTCATTCAATCAATCTCCAAACATTTGGGGAATTGCATCCCTCATTTGTAACACTAACATTTCTATAGCGTTAAAATAGGCCAAGAAGCCCCCTTCTTTATGAACACTAAAAAAATCCAATAACAAAAGAAAATATTAAAATCAACTGAAAAGAAAAAGAAAAGGAACACTGCAGTGGATATAATGAATGCAACCTAAATTTGAGAGTTACAAACAAAAGAGGGGTACAAGATTAGTATAAGATTATCATACAGAGAAGAGATTAGTATAAGATTACATCTCCTAAATATGTCAATCCCTACAAAAAAATTTTAAGAAATCGATGCCTTTTGATTGTCATATCATGTCAACTAAGACCCTCGAGTGTTATTTAGTTTAAATGTTTTCCGTCTCGTCAATGTTTCCTTAATAATATGGCACAGCAACAAAATTTTACATATTCTACGGGCACATTGTCAACCATCAAGGATTTATCGTAGCGCTTGCATCAATCAAAACCACACTATACTATACATTTGACTGTACTATAAGAAAAAAAAAAAGACAGAGAGAGAAAGAAGAACGACACAGCATACCAGACTCTTGAGTCCTCTGAAATGAATATCTTAGGTTCAAGCCTCAAGGTTGGTTTGTTGATTAAAAAACCTTACCGTCCAGTGGGATTCAGAATCTCAGAGAAAACACTGTCAAACCTTGAAGTTGTCACCGCTTGTCGTGGATGTCCAAGTTGTAAATACCATCTCAATCTTGCCAGCAGAATCTTGGTCACCTCCTGATTCAGAAGTCACATCCGTATCATCATCGGTCATATTTTGCACATCTCCACCATCCATATGCAAGGGAAATGGATCAGGTCGACCACCCTCATTTTCAGCTGCCTCCTGGACTTGCAATGCAAATTCAAGGCCACCAACTACATCATCCATTCCCGGTCGTTGAATCCCTTGATCTTTCAAACAATTAATGGCCGTTTCAGCAAAAATCCTCAAACATTGGGGAGCAATCTCGCCCTTCACATCTGGGTCCACAACTCGATGGATAATCCCTTTTTTGTAACACTGCTTGGCCCATTCAGCCAAATTCACCTGCTCCTGGGGTAAGTCTAGAATAATAGGTGCCCGACCACACAAAACTTCCAACAAAACCACCCCGAATGAGTACACATCGGACTTGTCCGTCAATTGCTGTCTCGTGTAGTACTCCGGATCTATGTAGCCAAAACTCCCCTTGACCTGCGTGCTGATATGGCTGTAAATCCCACTCGGACCAAGTTTGGATAATCCGAAATCCGAAACTTTGGCCACCCATGCCTCGTCCAATAATATGTTGGTTGACTTGACATCGCGGTGAATGATAGTGTGCTTGGTGCCCGTGTGGAGATAATCCAGCCCTTTGGCGGCGCCAATGCAGATTTGAAGGCGTTGTTTCCATGGGAGCGGTGGATTGTCTGTTCTGTAGAGATGATCGCGGAGGGTTCCATTAGCCATATAATCGTAAACCAAGATCATCTCACCCTTTTCATCACAGTAGCCTATCAAGGAAACCAAATGAAGATGTCTTAAATTTGATAGCAACTCGATCTCGGTTTGGAATTCGCGGGCACCCTGTCTTGATGAAGGATTTAATCGCTTTATCGCAACCGTTGTTAGATTGTTGTCTATGTACCCTTTGTACACGTTTCCAAATCCTCCAGTCCCAATCACAAACTTGGCATCAAAGTTGGCCGTAGCGGATCCAATCTCCTCCAACAAAAATCTTCTAAGCGACGATGAACCTGATGCTCCAGTCTTTGTTGACCCTGGCGGGGTTGAAAGTGGGGTCCAAGATGGGTTTGGAGCAGTTTTCTTGTCCACGTCTGTTACCCGTCTCTTCCATCGCCACCGGAAAAACAAGAAACCAATGATTAAAACCATGGCAGCCCCTCCTGCTGACCCTCCTCCGATGGCAGCAAAAGGTACTCGAGATTTTCCACGATTCCCCTTGGGATCATGATTGGTCCCGTCAAGACTCCCGTCGGTGTTATTCAATTTGAACAATTCTAAGCCATTCAAGATCGCATCAGCATACTTTGGTTTGGTATCAAGATTCGGGTGCAGAGCAAGAAACAAGTCTTGCTTGGTCTGGCGATAGTCTGGTGGGTTTGGAACGAACACGAGGTAGTCTCTGAATACCGGGACTTCTGGGCCGCCTGCCCAATGTATAACATCAGCTTCTGGCTCAGCTATTCTATCACCGATAAATATTTTGAACATCCGTTGGTTCTCCGCTGTAATCAAATCGGGACTAATCTCACAAAAATGCAACCTCATGAGATAATAAAACCCAGAATCAACAGGAAACATCCAGCTCAAGTTGAAGCTGGTGCTGAACTTTCCCATCGCCCTGGCAGTAGCAAAAACAACTGGGGGTGCGGTGTAATTTGGGGTTTCTGTAGTGTACTTGATGGCACTATCAGAATCGCTCAACTGATTTCCTTCATCTGCGCCCCAGAGGAATTTGAAATCGGAAGTCCATCTGCGGAACATCCCACTATCTTCCACCTCAGAAACTGCATTACCTCCTACGTTGAGCCTGTAAAGAGCTTCAAAGGCAGTCTTGTTCTGATCAAACTCAAACTGAACATTCGGATAAGCCACGAATTTAAGGGGATTGCTGAGCATATCATGGTTGCCCATGTAGAGATCTTCCGGGGTTGAAACAACTTCAATTCCATTAACGAAAGCGTAGGAATTCGAAGAGGGCAAAAAGGTAACGTTGAGGAACTGATCCATATCCTGAATATTGAGGATATATTCTTTAACAACGGAATTGATTGTATGTTCTTCAAAAACAAAGGGTGGTGAGAATCCCTTGCTAGAAACTGTGAGATATGCGCTAAAGTTACTGAGAAGGGTGTAGTTATTAGCCGTGACATTGAAGAAAGAATCAGTTGTGTTGAGACTGCCGGAGTACGAGGTAGGGTAGAAGTAAAGGCGGAGGAACTTTTTGCCTAGACTGACAGGGAAGGTGTAAGAGAATTGAGAACGGATGATTCGGGCACTTGAAAAAGGGACTCCGCTGACTGAGGAGTCTAGCTCGGTGGCTGTGACTGCTGATGAAATATTTGCCATGTCGTTCGGTGAGAATTTTGAGCCCACGTCGCCGTCCCATTTCCGGCCATCAACTGAGGTTGAATTCGAGGATGAGCCGCAGTTGATCAGGATATAATCTGTGGGGGTGTAAGGCGGAGTACTGCCAGTGGAAGCGATGACAAACAACAAATTGAAGAGAAAGCAGAGGAATACAAGAAAAAGGAACATTATGCTAATCCAAACGGAGCTAATCCAAATTGTCTCACATGCTAACTCACATGCTAACACCCCCAAAAATAGCTCAAATGCTAACTCACTTTTCTGATGGAAAAATTGGTCGTTATTCCATTGAAGTGTAGGATTGGGATTTCGCCATTTGTCTTTAAGAAATGTTGTGGAATTTAAAGTCCCCAATTCAGATGAATAACGAAACGGTAGTAGAATTAACATCACGAAGCGAGGATGGCAGTTTTAGCGTGGACTTGTTAAGTTGGAAAAGTCAATTCATTGGTTCCATAACCCAACTCCGACCAAGTTTCTGGCTTCGAGTCATATACCCCACCACATGCGCATTATATCAGGGGCAAAATGGAAAAACAAAATTCTTCCCAATCAAAACTAAAAGAGAAAATGATGAATTTCATCCCTTATATTTTTGCAAAATATTTTTTACGTCTCACATATTTAAAGCTTGTAAAATCTATACCCTTACAAGTTAGAGATGTACTACTAATTTCGTTCAAAAATCGAGTTTTTATCAACTTCTAGGCAAAGGGTTGCACACCCTAGCTACATTACAATATTTCAAGGCTATTAATCAACTAAATGACCAAAACAAAAACAAACGGCGAATTAAACCTGGTTGCTTCGCTGACTGATACATGTTTCATTATTTGAAGGAAATAGTAATGCATAGCCACCAAGCCAGAAAAATTCGACTGCAAATTGTTGATGTAGTAATTTGTAAAAGCTAGATAAAATTCTCCTATGTTTCAATGATGTTTACTTTTTTTTTTCTCGCTTGCTCTACTTTTACACTGCTTTCATCTGTTGTTTTATCAACAGATTCATAGACAAATTTTTCCTGTTCATATTTTCTTCAAATAATCAACATGCATTAACTAGTGAAGCAACGAGATTCTAGTGCGACATCTACTTTTTTCTTCGTCATTTGGTTGACTAATAGGCCTTGAGATGATTTACATTTGGTTGGGTATGAAAATATATAGAGACACGGTCAGGCTGAATGTTCTCGGGTGGAACGTTGATTTAGATTTGGTTGTGGGATGAAATTGGTACATGTTCAAAATGACAGGGATGGTTTTGCATTCCTTTGAATGTGATGCATGAAAGAAAATATTTTCAAATATGTGAGGGACAAAGTTGGTCATTTCCTCATTTAATTTTAAAGGGGAAGAGTTTTACCTTTCGATTTTGCCCCTAATATATTAAGCGCGTGATTGGGGTATGCAATTCTTAGCTGGAGAGTTGATCGGATTTGATTTATGGGATTAAAGTGGTATATTTCCAAAATATAAGGCATTATTTTATGAATTAATTTTCTATACAGCGACAGCATATACACTTTTACCATTAGATGCATAATATGTAATCCGAATTTGAATTTGAAACTCAAATTTTGCATATATATTGTATATCCGATTGTGATAGTGAATATATCATCAGTGTATAAAAGATTTACTCTTATTTTATACCATTGTAAGTGTGGGGCACGAAAAAATCTTTTCTAAAAAATAAGGGACTAATTGGGTCTTTTTTTTTAAATTTTTGGGCGAAGGTGCTTGGTACAAAAATCTATTTACCATAGCTGTGAGAATGAAATAGGAGGATTTACATTTAATTGATCAGAACTTGATTTTGGGGTGCAGAGATGCTGAGAACATCCATGATAATTTAGCAAGAAAGAAGGAATAAGGACATAGAAGTTTTCTCCTTTCTAGTGGCGGGGTTAAATTCTTATCATTTCTTGTCATCCTCGAGCAAGTCTTTTGAGCAACGTTACTTTTTTTAAATTCAAATGATCGTCATTTTTAGAGGACAATTGAAAGTTATCTTTGAAATTATAATGAATAAAATTATCCTTTTCAATTGAAAAAAATATCAAATTGTACTGTAAACATTAAAAATTATTATGCATATCTTAGTTCAGGTGCTTATTTCCCTTTATCATACAATGTAAAGGAATGGTCTGTCCTTTGGAATATCCAATAAAATTGGAACGATATAGAGAAGATTTGCAAAGACTATGCAAGGGTGACACACAAAAATGAGAGAAAAAGGATGGTCTAATTTTTTATTGGTGTTGGTTGTAGGGTTAGGTATTAAAATACAACTCGAAAAAAGATTGGTGGATAAAATCAAATGATGGGTGAATAGTATAGCACACTTAGCAATTTCCGTTCTCCTGGGCATTGGTCTCCAAAAGAATTCAAAAAGCTCTTCAACCTCTACCCCCCAAAAATCAAAACTAAAAATAATCCCTTAATGGCAGAAGAAATACCAACACGAGTTGATTTACAAGTTACAACTCATCGGATCTACAAGTTACAACTCGTGGAATTATGTACTTTTGATTTTAAAACTTTAATCTTAATTACATGACTACTTCACAAAAGACTCATTTGCTAGAAAAAAAAAATACTTGGCAAGCTAGAGTGGTGGCCTATGGGTATTAGCAGTGAAATTACACAAAATAAAGTAGTGGAGAGTGGGGGACATCTTTTGTTTTCTCTTTGGACAAGTGTTTGCAGGAAAGTTAATGAAATAGGAAAAGGGAAAAAAACAAAAAGAAAGTAATGAAGTGAGATAAAAGCGGACGAATAAAGTGGGGCTTCTAGTCTCTGTTTTGAAATTCGGATCGGATCGGTCGATCGAACCAGAAATCGACCAAGTGTCCGGTCCGAATCATGATAAAAAACCAGAAATTTAAAGTCCGGTCAAAACCGATCAAAAATTAGGTTTGATCGGGTTTGACTGGAAAAAAACCGATTTTTCTGGTTCAATGGGCATTTTTTTTTAAAAAAATTCAATCTTTTCAATATTATGTTTTGGCCCCCTAAATTGTTAAAACTTATTAATATATCTCAAATATTTCATACTTTATAAATATTGACATAAAATTTGATGTTATTTTTCAATTAAATTCATAATTTTAATTCTAAACTTGTTAATATTTATTAAATAACATAAATTGCTACTTGATTGTTCTAATTTCTTTGTATTTTCTTGTTAAATATATTTGAAACATCAAATATATATGAATATATATTTATTAATATTAACATATTATTAGATATTTTATATATAATATTTTAATTTTTAAATAATTTTTATTTATGACGTCATCCGGTTCGACCCCTATCGATTCCCAGTCGAACCCATTGACCCCTGATCCCTAACCTCGGCCGAGTCGACACCCGGTCCGGTTCTGAAAACATAAAAGCTTCTAGTATTAGTGTTTTGAAAAGGGCTAATTCCTCTAATTATTGTTCGAGAAAAAAATCGCAACAATAACGTTCTAACAAAGATCTGGTACAAAACTATGCCAAGCAAGAGAAATTTTTTTTAAATGTTTGATTGCCGGCTGCCAGCCTACAGCTTTTTCCTTCTTTTTTTTGTTTTTACTTCACTAAGCCCGCAGCCATGATAAATTTCCAAAATATCGGCGGCCATCAAAAGTGAAAAAAAAGGGGCTGCATGGCCCCAATGCAAAACAAACAACCGAATACAAATATTAATCCCTTTTTTTTTGGTGGGAAACTCAAATGTAGATGCAGATGTAAGTTGTAACATGTCAATAGTTGGACGGAGTAGTACTGTGGCAGTTGGTAGCTTCTTTTTTTTTGTGGGTACTACTTGTCCTACTAATATTACTTATAGATTCTTAAAAAAATTAAAAATCTATTTAACTTTTATATAATTTTTTTTTAAAATGAAAAAGTTGTAAGAGCAGGTGAAAATGTAATGGGACGGAAGTGGAGAGGAAGGTGAGTGGAAAAAAGGTAGGAAGTTGTAGGAAGCTTTTTTTTTGTCCTTCTTACCGTTTCAAAGAAGCTTCTGCCGCTACTACTACTGATGAGGAAAAGTCCTATCAAAAAAAGGCTGCCGGGCTAACTTGAAGTTAAAAAAGAAAAAGCTGCAGCCGGCCATCATGGCAGCCTGGCATACTAAGCCCGGCAGCCTTGAAGTTATAAAAAAAAAAAAAAACTGCAGACCGTTTTTTTTTTTTTTTTTTTTTTATACGATAGCTTCCTATACTATGAAGAGGAGGAGGGCCAAAAGAGGTCTTGAGATAATCCAAAAGAGACTGAACCATCATTGAATCAGATGGGTGCATAGTGCACCCGTCTGAATTTTTAAGTACGGCCATGTTTAATTGTAGCAATTGGTGGGAGGTAAGATTCGACCCCTTGCCTCCCATCCCACCAAGCCTTAATGCATTGGTGGTGGTCTGACAGCTTTTTATCAAATTTTTCAGTGGCTGTCGGACTGGTTCAGCCTGACAGCCAAACATTTACCAAGAAAAAAAAAATTTCTCTTGCTTGCAGGGTTGTGTTAGCCCGGCAGGCACAGTTTGGTACCAGAACTCAGTCAGAACCTTATTGTTGCGATTTTTTTTTGGAACAATAATAGAAGGAATTAGCCTTTGAAAAGGGAAAGTTTCTCAATATAAGAAAGCAATAGACATGAGTGTATGTAGTAAAATGATAAATCGTACGAAAAAAATTAAAAAATGGATTATTCAATTTATTTTGTATATTTAATAATCAACTTAGCTAACGGTTGGTCAATGAGCACTCGTTACAAACATTCAAATGTTAGTTTTTTTTTTGAAAAAAATACAGTGAATTTAGGAAGTATTTAAATACATGGGGCTCAATAATTATGATTGAATTTATTCATAGGGTAATTTAAGTGTAATTTAGTTGTACTAACAAGTTCTCCATTAAAAAAATCTTTTAATAATTATAATTTTTTGTTAATGAGAATGGGTATTAGTTAATGCACTTGATTTATGCCAAAGATTACAATGTGAAAGCACGTACTTACGCTCCTTGTCCTTCTTGAATTTAAACACTTTCCTTATTTAATTTTAATTTACTAAATAGCTTAGATTCATACCTTAGATTTTGATATAGGGAATTTCTAACGAGTGTCCATACACCCAAATCATACGTTATTTGCTACATAAATTCACACACTAAAAATTATTATCTTATCTTACATTTATATATTTTCTCTAATTAATATTACTCTTTTTAAAATATGAACACTTGAAATCCATTAGACATTCGCTTGACAGACTCTTTCATATATAAACATTCTACCATGAATAATTAACCTGTTCTCATTAAGAATTGAACCGAAATTCAGACTAAATAAAATATTTTTATTCATTAAATGCTAGTCAAATTGATTGCAAATTCAAGCATCACAATAGGCAGACCTTTCTGGAATCTACAGCTTCTTTTATCTTGGAACATGCACAATGCAGCAGCATTGAAGACCACTAAATCCAGGAACGCATAAAACATTATTGATGTGCAAGTCCACGTAGCCACACTGCTGGATGCAATCAAGTCTTGTGGTGCATGTACCAACAAACTTGCAATCGCTAAACGGTCCATCATCATCGTCGTCGTTTATCTCTGCAACAATATATATACACAGACACTCCAATTCACCATTGATACCTAATCCAAAAGCAATTAAAATCTTATAATACTCAAAATATATTATTTATGCACACAAACCCACACAGGTACACACTGGCATGCACAAGTGTTAAGTACAAGATAAAAATCATTCACATGAGAAGAATTATTCGTATATGACAGGAGACAACAAAGCAACCAATTAGTTTGAAAATTTTGGGATTAGCTTCCCCTCCCCGTGAACGGGGTTTGCTTTAAAAAAAATTGTTTGGAAGCCAAGACATCAACATGCCAAGGGCTTAGAATCTGTAGAATAAACAAATAAATTAAACTCCATTTGAAATTCCAACTTGATAAACTTGAGACTTAAATCAAACACCCAATTTCATTTGCCAAAATCTTTGATCAAAGGCTCGATTGATTTGTGAACTCCACTTTCGAGTTTCTATCAATGTATGACACAGCTTAGATAGAAGCATTACCATTAGAATATCCAGAAAGAAGAAGAGTCATGAGGATGAGTGAAACCAATTGAACCCTTCTTGATGCCATTGTGCTGTATGTTGATGCCAAACCAATATGAACAGCAAATACAACAGGACTAGCCTTACCTATTTATAAGGAAATGATATTGATAATTAGAAACGTGTCATCACTTATGTGGTTAAGATTTAGGTTCAGGTTGACCTGTATACACACTTTGACAAATGGCTTATCCGTATATTAAAGCTTTTGAAAATCCGATTCATCATCTTCGAGTGAGACAATTCACAGATTAATTGGCTATTGTCGTTTTTTGCTTTTTTTTTTTTTTTCTCTTGAGTGGTTTTTGATGTGGAACCGTTTCTAAATGAAACTGATAGAAGACCAACTTTCAACAATGATTTACCAACCGTTTGGTTGGTGGGTTTTCTACTCTTCAATGGGTATAGAAAGTGCTTTATACCCATAGATGATGTTTGATATACTTCTATGGGTATGGTTCAATCACAATCAAAAACCCAAAAGTAGGTAATGGTCATTACTGACCAATTTGGGGGAAAGGAACCCCATTGACAAATTTAACACTAAATGATATAAGAAAAATACAAAAAAGAATGAAGATACGGCTATTTGCCCATAGCGACGCCAGTCTTTCTTTCTTCTTGTACTCTTTTTTTCCCCCTTTTTTCCTTTTCTTTTTGTGTTTTTGTAAGCATACTCATGTTCCTTCCTTTCCTTTATTCTCTCCTCCAATCTTTTTCTTTCTCTTTTCTCTTGATGGCCAGTAGGTGGCGGTGGTGTTGGTGGCCATTGTTGCTTGGGTGAAGCTTTTTTTTTTTTTTCTGGCAATTATTGTGACTTTGACAAACTTTTCTTTATGAAACCTTAACACCCTTAATTTTGTGATTTGCAGGCAAAACATAGCATCACCTTGTGTGTGTGTGTGTGTGTGTTTTTTTTTTTTTTGGTCTTCGAGATTTTAAGTTTGACTCCATGTGTTATTGGACAATTTGATGTCAAATTAATTTTAAATTTAACTTCTCCAAAGTGAGATGATTGTTTTGATAGTCAATTGGCTTATAAATTTTTTGAACTAGTTGAAGTGGTGGACTTGCCACGTTGGTGGTGATGGTGGTCGAAGGTGATTGGGGTTTAGTATTGGAACTTAGGAAGAAGAAGGGGAAATGAAAAAAAAAAAATTTGAAAACCCATTCCTTTTGATTACAATGCCAAACAATCAATAAGTTTTTGGCAATACTCATTGCCATTGAAAAATTTTTGATAGCCATTGCTACTACTATTCTATAGTGTATGCCAAACAGCTGGTTAGATATGGCAACCAACCAGCTCGGGTAGGAGAAATGAGGCAGGGGTGGGAGTGGGGGATTTTTTTAACCCCGCCTCAAATGGGGCAAGGGATGGGGGAACATACCACGCTCCATCCCTCGTTTAAATTTTGACGTAGTATAACATCTATGTATGTTTATATACACACACACACACACAACTAGAAGGAGTCAGACTGTGCAAGCATAGCTTAGCCCTACCTATAAAATTCTGGTTAAAATGCATCACATCATAATTTGCTTTCAAATTAAGAGCAATTACAATTCCTAAAAAATGAGCCTAAAAAATAAGGTTTATTTTTAGTAGAATGTTCCAAAAGTTTGCTCCAACTTGCTTATTGTAATGTAGTAGAGATATATTGTTGTCTTGTATAGACAAATAACAATAAAGAATTTAAAAACCAAACACATGAATAATGCAAAACCAGTTCAATGTTAACATAAATGGTATATGCTTCATAAAACTCAAACATCATGCTATTATAATTACAAATGCATAAAATTTCAGTACTATTTCTTTTCAAACAAGACACCATCATTTAAAAATTCCCATCCTACAATTTCACAATAAAACTTGGAAGAAATTGAAATGGAAGGTTTTTCAATGCATAAAAAGGGTACAAAAATTTAGTAGCAAAGGATTACTAGATGAAGTGCTAGATTCAATTATGCATTGAAAAGGAACTAAAACATCAGAAATGCAAAACACAAATTTTGCATTTAGATTCAAGACAAATCTCACAAAAGGAGAATTGACTTGCAGAATCAAATAATTGAAGGCTTAATGAATATCAAGGAGATCAAGCCAAAATAAATAAATACATCGTGGTAACAGGATAAAGAAACTATACTGAGAACTTGAATAGTTGGGATAGATCAAAAGTGGGGATTGAAGGTTGGAGGCATATTGTAATTGCATCATCAAACTATCACAATTGGTGTATTTAAACTTTTTCATGGAGAGCACCACAAAACAGAGTTATCTTCATGTAATTTTGGTTTGAAATTTTTGTCCAGCTGAAAACTGTCTTTTCAAAATTTTCCCTGTTTAGACCAGAGAATTACCAAATTAGTCAACTCAATTTTTTTAAGTAGGAGAGGGGTGGAATTTGCGAAGCGGGGAGAGGGAAGACGGGAATTGAATCCAAGACCTTTAATTCGTGGGTCTAATCTTAGCTACTAGACTACCTCAACAGTCAACTCAATTTATTATACACGCTTGATCAATTCAGTTTAGTCTCGTGAAGTTTCTTCAGCTTACAGTAATATTTGTTTTGCTTTATGACTTGAGTATTGGATTTTGTGTTTGGCTACTCCATTGATGCATGATGGTCAATCATCGTTTGATCATCATCAATGGTGTTCTATATCTGCGTCTTCATGGTTTACTTCATCATTTACTGTATTAAATTGCACTGCTAGTTATTGCCTTGGGCAATATACGCAAACTGTTCTATTTGCTCATCGGATTTCAGTTTTCGACTTTAGGGCTTTATCCGGATTGATCGTTTTGATCCTAAAACATGGATCAAACCTGGTGGTAACTCTAGAACCTACACACTGGAGAAAGAGCAGCTTTCACCTAGTAGAACTATTTATGACAGGAGAAGAGGCTGATTAAAATTAAGACCATTGCTTATGTAATTGAGGTCCTCATTGGTGTATTCCTTTGCTCTAGACTACCAGTGAATTATCAGCCTTAGCGTTTATGGAGTGCATAGGTATTGAAGTTGACTTATTTATGTGCCTTACATAAGTCCACTCCCAGCAAATCCGGAGGAGGTGGTCGATCTCAAATTTTTTTAGACTCGTTTGAATCAATACTCATTCCATGATTCTTCTCTCCTTGTTGAAGCATTTACTCATGGTTTTTACACGCAGCCTGAGAACCCCAGATGCTATAATGTAATCTTTGCCCTTGCTTTTCTCATGTTGTTATAAAGGTAAACCATTCTACTTGTTCTTTGAACAATTTATGATCTTGTTGGGAATGTCTTCAGTATTTCCTCTGTTTTATTTTCTCAACTTGATTGTGCATAGGCATGTTTTTTTGTTATGTCAAACTTTGATTTCCTGGAAAATTGTGAAGCACTTAAACCTCATCTACTGAAATATCTTTTTGGTTGCTCGTCTGGCTTTAGTATTTTTCCTCAGTATTCAGTATAGTGGTTCAAGATATATATTGCACCAAAAGAGAAGCTGTTTGATGTGTATGCTGATATTATTTGCTTACAGAGATCAGCTTTGTGAAGTCTAGTGCCATATTTCATACTACAAGCAGTGGTATTAGTTGTACTTTTTAGGTCGAATTGATTAGTTACTTACAAGTTCGCTATATCATTCGAGTCTATTTGAATTACCATATGTATTTTGGAGCCACCAGATGAAATCAAAATTAGCTACCACTTTAAGGGGGAAAGGTCATATTATTACTTGTTTAGTTGATAATAGCCCTGGAGATTGATAGGGTGCAATTTCATCATTTATTTTATAATTATTTTTTCTTATTACTTGACCCGATGTGGATTAATTGTTGGATTCTATTCACTTTTAGTATTTTGCATTTATTTCAGGGAGTAGATCGAAAATACCACAACCAAGGCCAATTTGACAGTCATCAGGAAAAAATTCAAATGGAAGGTCTTCAGGGGTATTTTTGGAACAAGGAGACACAAGTCCTTTTTGGTAATTTACAGAAGACAGCATAAAAGAAGAAAAGGAATGAAGGGCTGGAGTCTTCTTCCTCTCGGGGGGGAGCCGCTGCACAGTAGCAAAAAGCTACTTAGATATGAAATAAAAATTGCAGAGGAGGAGCACTACGTAGATGGCTTAGCCTTTGACTTTTCTTTGTTGTTTAGCTCTTAGTAGTTTTCTTTTCATTCCTCCGATGCTAGGAGCAATTAGGAAGACATTGAATCATCCCCTGTACCTTTGCTTTTCTTTATCCCTTTGACCAAATTGAATTTACTCATTTTTCAATTGATGGCCGCGGCTTTTTCTCCAAATTCGTACGGATTTTGCACATAAATATGAATTAATTTCTTCACTCTAGTTAAGGGACAACGGAGGCTCTGGTTCGCCTAAAAATTGTGAGATCGATTTAATTTTATCATTTCCTTTTTATTTATTGGTATTCGCATATTTCTTGATTGCAGTACTTGTGATTATTGAATTGATTGATTGTCTTGGATCCAGATAATTAGTTAATTTAATAATCTATTGTCAATTGAGGTATTAAATCCGTAATTGTTTAATTGCCTCAAAATAGTGACAACTGGCATGATTAGATTTATGTCAGGGGAATACGCGGGCTAATCTAAAATAATCCTGGTAGTGCGTTATTTGGTTAGAATAGGGCTCCTATAATATGTAAGGCAATTAGGAAATTAAATCTTACGGGTGTACCTAGAATTATTTCTCAATTAGAGCAGTGATTAACGGGCGTACCTTAATCACCGACACAATAAGGAGGGGTTGACTGTCATCACTTGTTTGGCAGTTATAACTTATTTATTAATAAATAATTGGAATTGCTTGTGCATCGATGATCAATTAGGTGAACCATTACTGAAGTTATTTCTTAGTTAGATCATTAGTTATCATTCATTTGACTTTAGTAAATTGTTATTAAATTTTTAGTAGTTTCTTGGATTTTATTTGCATTTATTTGATTGTCACCTTCTACACAAAAAGACCCCCTAGTTACTGTGAATTTGAAAAGAAACAGTTACACCCAATTCCTGTGGATTCGACCCTGCTTACCACTATCTACAGAAATTACTTTTAGTTTGA